CTTCATCGATTTTAGATTTAATTCGAAGCTATTATTCGCACTAAAAAAACACCAGTGGAAGACGCTCAGTGCAGGTAAATTAAAAAAACACACAGGTTACAAAAAGATGTGCAGGTGACGGTTGGGAACCCAGGAGAACTTAGATTAAAACCCACACCAAAAACAAAGAACGATGTTACAATTTCTATTTAAAGCTTTCGTGACCGCAAGGATTCATCTTCTTTGGTTCTTTCGGTAAAGTCACCACCACGTAGAATGAGAATGAAATAATACAATAAAACAATAAAATTCTCACGACGTTTCGGCCACAACACAAGTGGCCTTCTTCAGGTGAAAGGACAATTGTAGCTCTGTCGTCCCGACAGGTTTGTTCCTTTCACCTGAAGAAGGCTACTTGTGTTGTGGCCGAAACGTCGTGAGAATTGTATTGTTTTATTGTATTATTTTATTCTCATTCTACGTGGTGGTGACTTTACCGAAAGAACCAAAGAAGTAAAAAAGAACGATGTGTAGACGCAACAGATTGATCATTCAATGAAACGAAAGCATGCAAACTGTAATTAAACATACATTTTGATTTAAAGCTTTCGTGACTGCAGTGATTAATATTCTTGGTTCTTTCGGTAAAGTCACCACGTAGAAGGGAAGCAATAGAATAATATAATATATAAAACAATAAAATTCTCACCACGTTTCGCCACTTCTTTCAAATGTCTCTTGCCGTTGGTTTCTCACACCTGATGATGACCGTTTGCGTTACAGTCGAAACGTCGTGAGAATTTTGTTGTTTTTTATATATTTTATTATTTTATTGTTTCCCTTCAACGTGACTTTACCGAAAGAACCAAGAATATGTAATTGAACATGTTAAAGTCGGTGGTGTAGCGGTTAGCGCTACGCTGCGCTACGAACCTGGCGACCCGAGTTCGATTCCCGCTCACGGCCAACAGCAGTGTTTGTTTTAACAGTCCGTCTCCGTGGGCGTGGCCTCGTTCATCACCGTGGCCACGTTCATCACCGTGGTAACGTTCATCACCGTGGCCACGTCCACCACCGTGGCCACGGTCATCACCGTGGCCACGTTCATCACCGTGGCCACGATCATCACCGTGGCCACGTTCACCTCCGTGGCCACGTTCACCTCCGTGGCCACGTTCATCACCGTGGCCACGATCATCACCGTGGCCACGTTCACCACCGTGGCCACGTTCATCACCGTGGCCACGTTCACCTCCGTGGCCTCGTTCATCACCGTGGCCACGTTCACCTCCGTGGCCACGTTCATCACCGTGGCCACGATCATCACCGTGGCCACGTTCATCACCGTGGCCACGTTCATCACCGTGGCCACGTTCACCTCCGTGGCCACGTTCATCACCGTGGCCACGTTCACCACCGTGGCCACGTTCATCACCGTGGTAACGTTCATCACCGTGGCCTCGTTCATCACCGTGGCCACGTTCATCACCGTGGCCTCGTTCATCACCGTGGCGACGTTCATCACCGTGGCCACGTTCACCTCCGTGGCCTCGTTCACCACCGTGGCCACGTTCACCTCCGTGGCCACGTTCATCACCGTGGCCACGTTCATCAACGTGGCTACATTCATCACCGTGGCCACGTTCACCACCGTGGCCACATTCATCACCGTGGCCACATTCATCACCGTGGCCACGTTCATCACCGTGGCCACGTTCACCTCCGTGGCCACGTTCACCTCCGTGGCCACGTTCACCTCCGTGGCCTCCTCACACTTCGATGCCGGCAACCACAGCAGTAGCAGCAAAAGAAATGGTCCCCAATTTTTATAGCCGGAAACATCCATAGTAGAGGCTTTCTTTTATTGTTGTTGTTGTTGCTGTTGGGTAAGATCGCGTAAACATATAAATGCTGTGTCGTAAGAACCCGCCACCACCCGACACAGCCAACCAGCAAAGGTGGGGGGGGGGGGGGGTTGTCACGTAAACAGAACGTGATTTTGGTGTCGTGAAAGTCCACGCGTTAAGCCGGCACGTGTTTTCACCCACGCGACACTCACCCAGACACTCACCCAGACACTCACCCAGACACTTACCCAGACACTCACCCAGACACTCACCCAGAGACTCACCCAGACACTCACCCAGACACTCACCCAGACACTCACACAGACACTCACCCAGACACTCACACAGACACTCACCCAGACACTCACCCAGACACTCACCACTCACCAGGCACTCACCCGTCTCGTGGGAAGCTCGTGAACACCATCGCGGCGTCCGTTTAACAAACAAACGACGACAAACGACAACAACAACAACAACGACAACGACGACGACGACGAACATCCAACGAGAAAGCCAAACGATCAACGCGCCGTAATTCGCTCTCGGCTGCGCGCGTTAATGGGCGTCCAAAGTTGTTGCGGTTGGCGTCCGAGTGCTGCATTACAGACACGGACGCCTCTTAGCCTAATTACTCGACCCAATTAGTGGGGCACCGTTCAGTTTCAGTTCAGTGCAGTTGTCATTTATTTTGGTATAGCCCCCTGTGAGGCATTCGGCTCTTGAATCGGAGTGCAACAGCAACAAACGAACAAAAAAACTCAAACACGAACAAGAAAAAAACATCTTAAAGTGACTGCGTGTGTGACTGTGCAAAACAGAACATCCATGAGAAAAAAAACGGCAAAATATTCCTGAAAAAAGCACCGTGTACACCAACAACGCTGTGTGCAAAAAATCCTAGTGGGATGCAAGTCAAACAACAACAACAACCACAAGAAAACTTAGATTAAGGCCATCAGTCTAACTCCGTACTACAACAAAAAAACATGTCCAAACCAAAAAACTTTTCGAAATCACCAAAAAATAAAGCCATAATTGCAACGTAACAGTGATCATCACAGGGACTGTGACCGAATGTTTTTACAATAAACTACATAAATAACATGTAACACCAAACCCTAGAGCCACAGCTGGCTGCATGAGTTACTCCACAACAACAGAAGCATCAGTCGGAGTATCTGCCTTTAGTTTTAAATCTAACCAACGGAGCATGTTTGTTAAGAATTTGGAGAAACGTGTACCTGAAGGTCTCCCAAGCCATAGTCAGGTTGGGGATATCACAGACCTTGTCAATATCCGAGTGAAGCACATCATTAGCAAATGCCTGAGTGCTGAAGTGTCTCATAGAGTGCTTCTCAACCAATTTAGGGGGGGGCTTTGGGTCTGGCTGATGATCTCACCCCAAAAATGAAGAAGTGATCACTAAGGTTATTTCCCAGGGAAATTGTGAGGGGCATTTGTCAATAGGACGTCAAGCAGAGATGACTGTCCCGGATTTTTTAGGTTGGGTCTTGTGGGGACATTTATTAATTGAAACAGGTTAAATTCTTCTGCAAAATTTGTGGCCACGGCTGGCGGGTTTAGCCAATTCCAATTTAGGTCACCCACTAAAACTATTTCACCTTTAGGGAGGCCCCCAAAAAGCTCTCTCAGTGCAGATGCAGCTTCAACATCCTTCCCACTAGGCGGTCTATAGCAGCACACTACCAATATCTGTTGATTATTTGGGAGAGTTATTCTGAGAGCCAGACCTTCAAAGGAACATTTTTTTAAACAAGGAGTGAGCTCGTGAACATGCAATAGAATTACGAACATAGATGGCAATTCCACCTCCTTTAGATCCTCTGTGAAGCCGAAAAAGGTTGTAGTTGTCAATCGTAATCTGCAAGTCATTGACGGCAGGAGTGAGACATGTTTCTGTTCGGCAAAAAAGGTCCGGGTCAAGATTTGCCACTTCTAGTTTTAGTTGACTTAATTTAATCACAAGCCCTCTGATGTTGACATGTAGAACACAAACACCTTTCCTGCCAGAAAAATCTACAGAATTATACGAGTTCTTTACATTTGGGCCAGGGTGAAGCTCAATACCACCCAGAAATAAGAAAAGTAGAATTAATAGTTTGCACAAGTAAATAGTTTGCGCAAGTTGATGGCGGGCCCAGCTGGGGGTGTGTGTGGAGGGGGGTGCCATGCGGACCCCTAATCGGGAGTACGGGGCCCGGTGCCAGACGGAGGGATTAACGGCAACAGAGAGCGATTTGTAGGGGCGAGAGGGATTTTTGGAATCGAAACGTGGATGTGTGTGTGGGTGTCTGTGTGTGTCTCTGGTGTGGGTAGCGGCGGTGTAGTGGTTAGCACTTACGCTGCGCTACGAACCCGGCGACCCTGGTTCGATTCCCGCTCATGGCAAACACCGGTGACGATTATCTGAACCGGTCCTGGGCCTCCCCTAGGTCGACTCAGCCTCAAATTAGTACCTGGTGCGATGTGTAAACATCGCCACCGGGGAGACAAAGGCGGCCGGGCATGGTGTTGGCCACCTACCCCCTCGTGTGCCGTTCTGGCCTCCACCGATGAGCCACTGAAAAGTCGAAGCCGGTTTTCGCGACCTGCCTCATTGACAAACCACACCGCGTGTCAAACTCTGCTGATGAGACACCGGGTGTCGAATCCCGCTCGCCCGCACCTCCGGTTGATTTCGAGAGGCGCCATCACAAAGATCCCCCGTGTAGCCTTCACAGACTGTAGGGGCAAGTGCTGTTAGCGAGCAGCACCTATGAAGGCCGGCACGGCACACGAGGGGGTGGGTGGCCAACACCAACGCCCGGCCGCCTATGTCTTCCCAGTGACCATGTTTACACATCGCACCAGGTTACTCATTTGAGGCTGAGTCGACCTAGGGGAGGTCCGGGACCGGTTCAGATAATCGTCACTGGGTGTTGGCCGTGAGCGAGAATCGAACCCGAGTCGCCAGGTTCGCAGCGCAGCGTAGCGCTAACCGCTACACCACCGCTCCCCACGCCATCACGGGCACATCGGGAGAGGCGTTGTATCCATTACTTTGTGTCAGCAATCAGGTCATGTGGTGGGAGGAGGAGGGGGGGTCAGGAGGTGTGTGTGGTGGGGGGGGTAATTAGTGGGGGGGGGGGGCTTAATTAGTTGGGTGGGGTAGGTGGTGTGGAGGACGCGCATTTAATTGTCCGTCGAGAACTCGGAGGGCACTATATAAGGGGCACACGAACGTGCAATCTCTACTCATCCTCAACACTCTCTGCTTATTCAGCCGCTGCCGTCCCATCACCACCACGACCACTAGAACGACGATGTCCAGGTGGGTGAAAGCCGTCAACGTCGTGCGCGCCACACGCCCACTCACTCACCCACTCACTCACACGCACACCCACTCACTCACACTCACACCCACTCACTCACACGCACACTCACTCACACGCCCACTCGCTCACAAACCCACTCACTCACACGCCTACCCACTCACACACCTCTCACTTATACACTCACACACACCTCTCACTTACACACTCACACACACCTCTCACTTACTCACATCCAATCACTTACAGAGAGACACAGATAGAGACACAGAGAGAGAGACACACACGCACACAGAGTGACGACAGAGAGAGGCACAGAGAGACACACACAAACGCGCACACAGAGAGACGACAGAGAGAGACACACAGAGAGAGAGAGACACACACGCACACAGAGTGACGACAGAGAGAGACACAGAGAGAGACACAGAGAGAGAGACACACACACGCACACAGAGTGACGACAGAGAGAGACACAGAGAGAGACAGAGAGAGAGAGAGAGACACACACACACGCACACACAGTGACGACAGAGAGAGACACAGACAGAGAGAGACACACACACACAGTGACGACAGAGAGACACACAGAGAGAGACACACATACACACACGCACACAGAGAGAGACAGAGAGAGACACACAGAGAGAGACACACACACGCACACACAGTGACGACAGAGAGAGAGACACACACACACGCACACACAGTGACGACAGAGAGAGACACAGACAGAGAGAGACACACACACGCACACACAGTGACGACAGAGAGAGACACAGAGAGAGACACAGAGAGAGAGACACACACACGCACACACAGTGACGACAGAGAGAGACACAGAGAGAGAGAGAGACACACACACACAGAGTGACGACAGAGAGAGACGCCGATCCCTTCTCGCCTCTCTCACCAGCATGGAGCTTCTCTGCCCCCCGGGAACCATCGGCTGCGCTACCGACGACGCCGCCGTCGGCTGTGGCAGCTGCTCGGGCCACCGTGCCGGCTCCTGCGGCTCCGCTTACGGCCACGGCGGCTACGGCGGCTACGGCGGCCACGGCGGCTACGGCGGCCACGGCTCATTCTCGGCCTGCGGGTACCCCGCGAGCAACAAGGGTTGCGGCCACGTGGCCCGCGCGCCACGCGTCTATGGCGTCACGCATCACGTGGGGCGCTCTGGCCACGGCGCTCCCACCGCGTACGGCTGGGGCAACTGCGGCCACTCCGGCTGGGGCCACGGGGGTAGCGGCTTGGCCTGGGGCCACGGGGGCAGCGGCTTGGCCTGGGGCCACGGGGGCTGCGGCAAGGGCTCGCGTTTCGGCCACGGGGGCGGTTTCGGGGCCGTGTGCGGTCTGAACGCGGTGAGCGCCGTGCCCTCGCGAAGCTACTACAGCGTCGCGCCGCTGGGCAGGTGCCCGCGAGTGTGCGGCGGCGTGCGCCACTACGGCCACCAGGGTACCGGCGGCGGATTTCACGGCTACGGCGGCGGCTACGGGGGGCTCGGGTTCTTGGGATGCGGCAGCTTCGCCGGGTACGGGAGGCAGTGCGGCTACGGGGCCAAATATTTCTAAAGTGGCGGCGGCGGCTGAGGCTGCGGCTGTTGCTGCTGCTGCTGCTGCTGCAGCATTATCGGTAGCAGCAGCAGCATCAGCAGCAGCAGCAATATTATTATTGTCAGCACGGTGAGCAATAGGCAACATTTCAGAAGCATCTCCAAGATCAGAATCACATAGCGGTGTCAGTACTAAGCAACTCCCTTTCCCTGGCGACAGACTTCAGCGCTACATTACTATACACTTATACACCTTAGACTACTATACAACACTACACTATACACTACACCTATGCACTACTACACGATAGACTACTATACAACACTACACTATACACTACACTATGCACTACTACACCTTAGACTACTATACAACACTACACTATACACTACACCTATGCACTACTACACTATAGGCCACTATACACCACTACACTATACACTACACTATGCACTACTATGCATTACTATACACGGACTCTAGCTCTTGCTGGGGAATTCACGGGCCTGCCGAACGACACAGTCTCGCCAGCGTGTCCTGGGGTCCGACTCGAACTCGTGTGGTCTTTTACTTCTGTAAACACGACCGGAAGAAGATCGCGGACATAGGGCGCAGCTTGTATTCTAGTGGTAGTGCCTTACGCCAAAGAAGACGGGCAAAGCGCCCTCTCCCTCTCTCGTTCGCGGAGCGAGCCTCGGGCAGCGCTTTGCGTGACGTGTCGAGGGGCAGCCCTGGCGAATTTGTTCACTCGCGAGCTGTTGATTGGTTGTTGACGATTCCGTTGTTGATTCGGTTTGTTTACCGCATGTTGTTGATGTGACGCGTGCGTGGCTGTGGCCCCCCCCCCCATCCACCCAAACCACCTGCCCCCCACCCCATCTCTCTAATCGAATAAATCTCATAAGCAAAGTTCCGTCTCCTCGTGGTGGCTGTGGATTGGACGTTTTTTTAGTGAAGTTATGCGGATGATGATGATGTTGGTGGAGCGATTGATGGATGGTGGTGGATGGTTTGTACGATTGTGATTACGGCGCTTCGATATTGATGGACCGTTGATGAATGAATGGTTGATGACAGGCCTCGACTTACGAACAACCTGGCTTACGAACACTCGACTTACGAACACCCGTACTTACGAACCAGCTTCCATGAAATAAATTTATTTAAAAAAAATTACATCGACTTAAAACACGAAACTCGCACTTGCAAACTCAACCGCGAAACTATTTTGTTCAGTAGAGCGATCCTCCGCGAGATAGCATGAGTCGGCCTTGCGCGTATGAAAGTGTGTGTGTGTGTGGGGAGCGGTGGTGCAGCGGTTAGCGCTACGCTGCGCTACGAACCCGGCGACCCGAGTTCTATTACCCGCTTACGGTTGTTAACACCGGTGATGATTATATGAACTGGTCTTGGGCCTCCCCTTGGTCGACTCGGCCTCAAATGAGTACCTGGTGCTGTGTGTGTGTGTAGTAACCATCACCACTGGGGAGACAAAGGCGGCCGGGCGTGGTGCTGGCCACCCACCCCCCGTATGGGCCGTGCCGGACTTCATCATAGGTGCTGCTCGCTAACAGCACTTGCCCCGACAGTCTGTTAAGGCTGTACGGGGTGGTGGGGGGGATCGTTGTTGTTGGTGTTTGTGCCCGTGTGTGTGCATGCGTGCCCGTGTGTGAGTGTGTTTGTGTGTGTGTCTGTGTGCGTGAGTGCCCCTGTGTGTGTGTCTGTGTGTGTCTGTGTGTGTGTGTCTGTGTGTGTGTGTCTGTGTGTGTGTGTCTGTGTGTGTGTCTGTGTGTGTGTGTCTGTGTGTGTGTCTGTGTGTGTCTGTGTGTGTGTGTCTGTGTGTGTGTGTCTGTGTGTGTCTGTGTGTGTGTGTCTGTGTGTGTCTGTGTGTGTGTGTGTCTGTGTGTGTGTCTGTGTGTGTGGGGAGCGATAGTGTAGCGGTTAGCGCGCTGCGCTATGAACCTGGCGACCCGGGTTTGATTCCCGCTCACGGCCAACACCAGTGACGATTATCTGAACCGGTCCCAGGCCTCCCCTAGGTCGACTCAGCCTCAAATGAGTACCTGGTGCGGTGTGTAAACATTGCCACTGGGGAGACAAAGGCGGTCGGGCGTGGTGCTGGCCACCCACCCCCTCGTGTACCGTTCCGGCCTTCATAGGTGCTCGCTAACAGCACTTGCCCCTACAGTCTGTTAAGACTATATGGGGGATCTTTGTTTTTGTGTCTGTGTGTGTCTGTGTGTGTGTCTGTGTGTGTCTGTGTGTGTGTGTGTCTGTGTGTGTCTGTGTGTAATCGTGGTGACTCATTGTCCCCGCTTCCGACAAGCAAGCCACCATCAGGACTCAAGGAAAATGAAAAAAACAGATTTCAGTTTTCTACGTATGCGACTTTATTTTATGTTTTATTTACTAAATGTTATTTTTACAGTGTTGCATGCAAATATATAACATTTCTTATTATTTCTTAATTTAACAACACCTTCCTTTTTTGGTTGAACCGTAACAGATTTCATAACACTGACCGTATGGGCATTTAAATACACTGCGTTATTGTGTAGCTACCTGCGAACGGTCAACTTACGAACGGTTCGTCTTACGAACGGTTCCCATGAACTCATTGTGTTCGTAAGTTGAGGACCGATCAAGTTATTTAGTGTGAGTTTTTCTCCGCGTAGCTGATGATGTTGATGTCGCGAGACCACTCACGTGTTCCACGTGTACACGCACACAGGTGGAACGTGTGTACACACACACAGGTGGAATGTGTGTACACACACACACAGGTGGAACGTCTGTACACACACGCACATGTAGAACGTGTACACACACACACAGGTGGAACGTGTGTACACACACACACAGGTGGAACGTGTGTACACGCACAGGTGGAACGTGTGTACACACGCACACAGGTGGAACGTGTGTACACACACACAGGTGTAACGTGTGTACACACACAGGTGTAACGTGTGTACACACACACAGGTGGAACGTGTGTACACACACACAGGTGGAACGTGTGTACACACACATGTGGAACGTGTGTACACACACAGGTGGAACGTGTGTACACACACACACAGGTGGAACGTGTGTACACACATATACAGGTGGAACGTGTGTACACACACAGGTGTAACGTGTGTACACACACACAGGTGGAACGTGTGTACACACACACAGGTGGAACGTGTGTACACACACACAGGTGTAACGTGTGTACACACACACACAGGTGGAACGTGTGTACACACACACAGGTGGAACGTGTGTACACACACACACACACAGGTGGAACGTGTGTACACACACACAGGTGGAACGTGTGTACACACACACAGGTGGAACGTGTGTACACACACACAGGTGGAACGTGTGTACACACACACAGGTGGAACGTGTGTACACACACAGGTGGAACGTCTGTACACACACACACAGGTGGAACGTGTGTACACACACACACAGGTGGAACGTGTGTACACACACACAGGTGGAACGTGTGTACACACACAGGTGTAACGTGTGTACACACACACAGGTGTAACGTGTGTACACACACACAGGTGGAACGTGTGTACACACACACAGGTGGAACGTGTGTACACACACAGGTGGAACGTGTATACACACACACAGGTGGAACGTGTACACACACACACAGGTGGAACGTGTGTACACACACAGGTGTAACGTGTGTACACACACACACAGGTGGAACGTGTGTACACACACACACACAAGTGGAACGTGTGTACACACACAGGTGTAACGTGTGTACACACATGGAGGTGGGGGGGGGGGGAATAAGGGGGGTGGGCGGAGGAGGGGGTGGGCGGAGGAGGGGGTGGGTGGAGGAGGGGGTGGGTGGAGGAGGGAGGTGGGGAGGAGGAGGGTGGGGGTATGAGGGGGTGGGTGGAGGAGAGGCGTGGGTGGAGGAGGGGGGTGGGTGGAGGAGGGGGGTGGAGAGGAGGAGGAGGGTGGGGGTATGAGGGGGTGGGGAGAGGAGGGGGGTGGGTGGAGGAGGGAGGTGGGGAGGGGGAGGGTGGGGGGAGGGGGGAGGGGGAGGAGGAGGGTGAGGGGGGGGTCTCTCCCCCGCTCTTTTCGCCTACGGAGGCGGCGGATGCGTCACCCATCAAGTCGCGTCGCATCCTCCTCTGACATCTTCCTCTGGAACTCCTGCCAAGAGGAGGAGCGGGCGGAGTGACGCTTAGAGGCCGACCGAAATTCGGTTTCGGCGCCGAATAGTTGACAAATGGCCTCTTTCGGCATCGTTTCGTTTTCGGCCGAAAGTTAAAAAAAAAAATCACTTTCGGTCTTGGGTTCGTTTACGGCCGAAACCAGAAATTCAGTTTCGGTTTCGGCCTCCTAGCGACGCTCCACTCGTGGTCGCTGAAGCTCTGACAGGTCGACGCGGACCTCAAATGAGCACCTGGCGCCGTCTCCAAAACTTGGGGAGACAAAGGCGGCCGGGCGTGGTGCTGGCCACCCACCACCCACCTCGTGTGCAACAGTGCCGGCCTTCACAGGCGCTTTGACCCGACAGGCTGTTGTCACAGGCTACCTGGGGGATCTTTGTCTGTCTGTACGCGCGTGTTTGTGGGGAGCGGTGGTGCGGCGGTTAGCGCGCTGCGCTATGAACCTGGCCACACGGGTTCGATTCCCGCTCACGGTCAACACCCAGTGCCAGCGATCATATGAAACGGTCCTGGGCCTCCCCTAGGTCGACTCAGCCTCAAGTGAGTACCTGGTGCGGTGGATAAAAACATCGCCACTGGGGGAGACAAAGGCGGTCGGGCGTGGTGCTGGCCACCCACCCCCCTCGTGTACCGTTCCGGCCGTTCATCGGTGCTGCTCGCTAACAGCACTTGCCCCTACAATCTGTTAAGGCTATATGGGGGATCTTTGTCTTTGTGTGTGTGTCTGTGTGTGTGTCTGTATGTGTGCGTGTGTGTGTGTCTGTGTGTGTCTGTGTGTGTGTGTGTGTGTCTGTGTGTGTGTCTGTGTGTGTCTGTGTGTGTCTGTGTGTGTGTCTGTGTGTCTGTGTGTGTGTCTGTGTGTCTGTGTGTGTGTCTGTGTGTGTGTCTGTGTGTGTGTGTGTCTGTGTGTGTGTCTGTGTGTGTGTCTGTGTGTGTGTCTGTGTGTCTGTGTGTGTGTCTGTGTGTGTGTCTGTGTGTGTGTGTGTCTGTGTGACTCACTCTGAAGGCTCTGAGTCGGCCCGCGCGCTCCTGGAGTCCCCTCTCTTGAGCCGCGCGTCTCTCCTGGATCTCGGCTCT